GAGCCATACTCTCTGAAAGACTTAACCGTTTGAGAGAAACGATCAATGGCTTCTACTCAAAGTTCATACGCAGGTTTAGGTGAAGGGCAATCCACCACGAGGCCTCCATTGTTTGACGGAACAAACTACACCTATTGGAAGGAACGGATGAGGATTTACATCCAATCCACCAACTTTCTCCTTTGGAGAATTATCAAAAATGGTGAGAACGTGCCAATGAAGAAGGTCGAGGAAATCAATGTCCCTAAGACCGAGGATGAATATGATGCGCAAGACATCAAGAAGGTGGAAAACAATGCCAAGGCCATCAACATCATCTATTGTGCCGTTAACCCGGATGACTACTGGAAGATTTCTTGTTGCACCACCGCAAAGGAAATGTGGGACAAACTAGAAATCACCTACGAAGGTACGGATCAAGTCCGAGAAGCTAAAATTGATTTTCTAACCCATGAATATGAATTGTTTCGTATGAAGGAAAACGAGAAAATCGATGAGATGTTTGAACGATTCTCCAAAATCATCAATGATCTTCATGCTCTCAAGAAGACGTACACGGACAAGGAGCTTGTGAGAAAAATCCTGCGAAGTCTCACACCGGAGTGGCGCTCCAAAGCCGACGCCATTCAAGAGTCCATCGGCATCACCAACGTCACCATTGACGGACTTAGAGGTAACCTCAAAAACTATGAGTCCACCATTCTATTCCCCTCTTTAGGTGAACAAAAGAAGAAGGGGATTGCACTCAAGGCTACCTCAAGCCAAGAACCCGCCATGGAAGAATCAAGCGATGAGGACAACGAGTTCGGGCTCGTCATCAAAAAATTCCACAAGTTCATGCGAAAAGAGTATGAACGAAAGGGCAAAAATCATGGAGGACCACCCAAGTGCTATGGGTGTGGAGAAGTTGGGCACATCATGCCAAAATGCCCAAACGCCAAAAACGAGGAGAAGAAACCGTTCAAGAAGCACCAAGCTTACATTTTATGGGGAGGTGATTCCGACGATGAGTCATCGGAAGGCGAAGAAAATGAAAGCGCCAACCTCTGCCTCATGGCACACGAAGAACCACCGGAAGAGGTATGTACCAGTTCTAAAGATTCCTATACTTTTGATGATGTACAAGAAGCCTTTAATGAACTTTATGATGAATATGTCAACGCTTCTAAAATTAACAAGGATTTGAAGAAACAAATTACTTCCATGGAGAAGGAAGTTGATAAACTATCAAAACATAATGAAAAACCTAAAGAAGAAAATAAGTTTTTTGGAAAAAGAAGCACCGACAAAACGGAAAGTTCAAAATGTAGTTCTTGTATATCACTTAAGGATCAAGTTGCAAAACTTGAAGGAACTTTGAAGAAGTTTGGTGTTTCTCATAAAAACCTTAATGATGTTCTTGATAATCTGCAACTTACTAAACATGGCTTAGGTTTTGAAAATGAAACAAATAACAAGGAAAAAGTTGAGCAACCACCTAAACAACCTAATGCTCAACCTAGGAAAACTAAAATGAACAATAATAGACAATCTACATCAACCAGGAACACTAGACCACCTAGAAAGAACACTAGGATAAACAATGATCAAGTTAGAGAATCTAGAAACCATTTTCCAAATATGCATAAACAAAACTTTTCTCAAACTAGGGTCAAGCAATATAGAAAACCTAGTAACTATTATCAACCTAGGAGAATGCATAATCCAAATGTTATTT